CCTAGTAAGAGTAATGTCATTCGAGAACGAATGTTCCCAAGGGGGAGATATTGTAACATCTCACAATTTGAAATAACTAGGAAAAAGATAATAATTGGGAATAGTCATTTTTGGAAAGAATGAAAAGCTGGAAATTTTGTTTAAGTTAGGAAAAGTTGACTTTTGGTCAACTTCAAACGGCCATAACTCCTATATCAGGATGAGTTATGTGTACTTCCAGATATGGTTGGAAATCTCTTGGAATGATCTTTCCAAAGCCGCCGAGTTTGCGCGATTCCGAGTTCGTATGAGTAAGTTATGCCCTTTGGAAGTTGGGTTGTTGGGTTAAGGAGAGTCTAATGCGGATTTTGGAAGGGTAATTTAGTCTTTTCCTTACCTAATTATTCTAATTAGTGTTTAGGAGTTTAATACAAGTTATTGAATTCTCCAAATATAGTGAACTTTAACTTCCCAAATTAAATAGGTAATATACATTATGTCTGTGTCAATCCGTCAAACTTATTATACATTACTCAGCTACTAAGTTCTTTTCAAGAACTCAAACATATCTAACATTGTTTTTATTTATTTGTTCTTAATTAGTGTTATTGAATATTGAGTAACTTGCCTACTCATTTGACTGATTTTATTGTGCCTTACGTGAGTGATTGTGGTTCAATGAATAGTCTTTTAAGGACAGGTCTAGAAGACAATCAAGAAAGGCGACCTTGTGAAATTGGAGAAATCTTTCATATTATTCTCACTCAACAACCGATTCCTTAAAGATGATTAGAAGATCTTTCGATCGTCATCAAGAGGCTTACATAGAAGAAAAAAGAGGAGGATTCTATACTGAGAATAATAATGTCTTATAAGTATTGGTTGAAACCATCAATCAACTGAATTACTCATACACCCAAATTAAACTCTTGGTTAAGAAGCATTAACCTCAGACGGAACAGAGTATTTGGTCCAGCATACTGACATCAAACTTGTTGGTGTTGATTACTTATCTTCTGAATTCTAAAGTAAGTATAACATCCATTTGCCTCATTCAGTTGACCTATAGTTACAGATAAATCAACATAGCAAGCCAAATCTATGATTAGCAAAATAGAGTAATAACCTATCGGTAGTCAGTTAATTGAACTGATGGCGTGAAAATCTTTTACATTGTCAGTGTATAAAACCTAATAGTTGATGTGGTTACCTGTAAGATTGAAATTAAATCCCTTTGTTAAAGAAATGTCAATAAGTTTCTTGTTTAGTACTAGCTGCATATTATCTACTAAGTTAACTTGCTACATAAGCCTATGTCGAAACGGTTTAATATTTGTAGAATCTGGTAATGATTTTTGAAACAAACTTATTGTTTTGTGCCTTTATAAATAGGAGTACTCCCAAGCAAACTGTGCAGAAATTTTCTTTCAGAAAGGCTCCACAGGCTTCTGTATGTGCCTCGTAGCCGAATCTGGAATCACAGGATGATCATTCTGTTTTACATGGAACACTTTAGATTGTACTTTTGCGATTTTGACATGCTGTTAGAATTGTTGATATGCCAGCTTTTTGTAAGTTGAATAAAATATATAGTTAAAAGTCTTTTAAGGACAATTCTAGCAGACAATTAACAAAGCTGATCCTTGCAAAATTGGAGAAATTTGTCATATTATTCTCACTCAACAAGTGATCCCTCTAAATTGATTAGAAGATCATTCGATCGTCATCAAGAGGCTTACATGGTGGAAAAATATGAGGATTCTATACTGAAAATAATAATGTCTTATAAGTATTGGTTTGAAACAATTGATCCTCTAAATTACTAATACACCCAAGTTACACTTCAGATTGTAGTTTTGGGATTTTTACATCCTGTTAGAATTGTTGATATGCCAGCCTTTTGTAAGTTGAACAAAATATATATTTACTATTGGGAATCTTGCCTCTTGGCCACTGAATTTGAATTAATCATATAAGGTTCTTGGATGCTTGTAGAAGCACTTCTGCCTGATGAGTGCTATATTCGCCATTCTCAACTTCCGTTTTACTTGTGCCACAATGTATCAAAACTTAAACGCACAAAGAAATAAGACAAGGACTGGAGTATAATAGAAAGTAACAAGATTTTAGGACTGAAATTTGTAAATGGTTTTATATGAGTTGATTTAAAGAGATAAAAAGGTAAATAAATAGGGAAGAAGGAGAAAGAGGGAATCCAGCAGATTCGACCCAAGTAGAAACCCATCGACTATCACTTAAAACTAGAAAGAAACATGTAAACGTTTGTTAGTGTTTGCACTAGCACAACTATTTGTTTCTTCGAGTTCATGAATTTGGATCATAATCACTTGATATTTCACTTTTGATTATTGACGATCATTGTCCTATAAACTCCATGGAATTAAGAAACAAAGAAAGAACATGAAACTTTGGTGGATTAAGTATAATGGGGGGGGGGGGGTTTGTGTGTGTATATATAGTGGCTTCGCTATGAAAAAGTTGGAAATTTTAAAGTGAAAGTCAAACCAAACAAAATAGATATTAGATTAAATGTGTTAGTAATCATGTTTTATTAATGGTCATGTATGACTAAAGAGAAAACCTATTTAATGCTTTCCTCATTATCATAAATGACTTGCATATCATACTTGTGTTTTCTCACACATTACATTGAAGATGTTGATTCTATAACTACAATTCTTTCACATACATGATTTATCACCACCTCCAATGTATGTGGACCCTCACATGACTTGTTTAAACTTATTTAGTTGAATAAATTTCAATAAAATAATTTATTATTAATTAATCAGTCTCCCTTTTAATTAAATTATCTAGCTACAGTCTATATATAAGCATCATATTCTAGTTGGTGCAGTATGGATCATTTTTGGATCATGATATCAACCCGTATATACCTTATTTGTGTTGAAGTGTAGATGTCATTGGTACAATCTAAACCAAGCAAATGAAAAGGTATTGATTGTCTTAATTATCTATATATTTTGATCAACAGTGACAATAGTCAATTATCCAAGTTTTACAATGGTAACAAAGTACATATTGTTACTTTTTCAACGGTAACATTTGCTTTTTTTAGTATATAAAAAGAAGGATTCATGAACTCTTCCATCTTATTCTATTTTAAAATACCTAAACATCTTTTTTTAATTATACCTCAAGCATCTCAAACATCTAATGCAAAAAATTCTTACATTTGTCGTTGTGGTAGTTCAGCTATGTTGAGGACGTCACACACCGAGACGAACCCAGGTCAACAATTTTTTAACTGTGTAATTGGGGCATGCTCTTTTTTTAAATGACTTGAAAATGATTCATTAACGATCAGCCCATCAAAATTGAGTCCGGAACTCGAGATTGCTAAAATGATTCATTTTAAGGCGTTACCAAATTATAAATATTAGAAAGGCTTCGCACCTCCGAAGAAAATAAGGATTTGCTATTGAATTTATTCAAAGAAGTTTTAGAGCAGAGGGATCACTTTGAAGGATTGCTAAAAGACTCCGAAATAGATAGGAATCAACTAAAACAAAGGTTGACATTGGCTAAAGAAAAAGATAAAGGCCTTAAAACAATATTGTATGGTTTGTTCCTAGTGATTGCTTTTTGGAAAGGTGTAACAGGGATGTAGTAGTACAATCTTATATCTTTTACTCATGTAGTAGTACAGTCTATTACTAAAATGATGTCCTTCTCATATGGTAAGACAATGTATTAGATATATAATTTAAAGTCGATAACTAATAACAATATCGATCAAAACAAAGATAACATTTACATAATCCAATTGTCTTAAAATAGCACTTCAAAAACCAACTAATTCAACAACCAATTGTCTTAAAAGCCACTTCAAAAACCAACTATCTCAAAAATAAATTGCCTTAAAAATCAATCACCAAAAACTAATTATCTCAAAAACCAATTGTCTTAATAATCAACCACCAAAAACCAACCATTTCAAAAACCAATTGTCTAAACCCACTTTAGAAACCAATTGTCTTAAAATACCAATAATCACAATGTCTTACTCATCACCATTGAGCTCACCATTGAGCTCCATAACAATACCCATCACGTCCACTGCATTTTCATCACTGTCTCCTTTTCCCTCTTCTGCCATATTAGTGGCCAAGATTTCTTCTACATTCTCTTCATTCTTATTCTGCTTCTTTCTTCTCTTCCATCTTCTCCTCTTATTTTTCTTCTTCTTTCTTCTCTTCCATCTTCTCCTCTTCATTTTCTTCTTGTTTCTTCTCTTCCAACTTCTCCTATTCTTTTTCTTCTTCGTTCTCTTCCAGTTCTCCTCTTCTTTTTTCAGTCATCTTTTCTTCCTCTTATTCTTTCTCTCATTCGTTCATCTTTTATACAACTCATTAAATTCTTCTGCAAAGTATTCATCAACTACAACAAGATTTTCATCGATTATTGCTAATGGAAGGATTTCATCAACATCAATTGCAGCACCATCTTCATCGACTAGTGGTGTTGTATAGTCTTCATCAATTGCTGCAAGATCAATGGCTTAACATTCATACAAATAAATTATTTTACACAAAAAATATATAAATTTAGTCTACCTTTATTTTTCTTGTTCATTTGAGTTCTGCTCAATTTCTCATCTCGTACAAAAGCAACAACTTCGATCATTGACTGTTGAAGAGATGCAACACGCTCACACAAATTATCATCTTTACATTTACTCGGTATATTTTTATGTCCACTCAAAACAAAATTCTCACAAGGTTGGTTAGGATTGTTATCACCCAATATTTCATTCTCCTCATTCTCTACTACTGAAGTGAGGACAGTGACACCTTTCAAACTACCCTTTATGGCATCAATGACTCTATCCTTCACTTCGTCCGTATATGACTTTAATGTTGCCATGCAATTTTGTTTTGTTTCACGGACAGTAGGTGTGAGGTATGGAAACCCTAAACTTATGAATACATAGAGAGCCGCAGAGTTTGTTCAGGAAGAAGCTCCCATCCAAAGTGAAAATGACTTTCAAGCGAAAGAATGGAGGTCGTAACAAACATAGACGCGACCATGTCAAGTTCATCCGCTACTCTAACTGTGGAAAATGCTGCCCTAAGGATAAAGCCATCAAGAGGTTCCTTGTGAGGAACATTGTTGAACAAGTTGTTGTACGTAATGTTCAGAAATCTTGTGCTTTTGATTTGTACACTCTTCTTAAGCTCTATTTGAAGATGCAGTATTGTGTTTCATGTGCAATTCACTCCAGGGTGGTTAGAGTCTGTTCTCGTACTGATAGGAGAGTTCGTGAGCCTCCACAACATTTCAAGCCCAAGGAATGATGTCCCAAAGACATGACAGGCTCGTAATGGCGTGTTTTACATGTAGTGGTTTTGAAAATGTACTATTTTCATGTAGATAATTGAACCTATTACCATGTTATGAAAAAAATGGTGTGAGGTATGGGTGCATATATATATATAAAGTAGTACACGACATTCACTAGTTTGCAAATATTGCTAGATAACAATAAATAAATTTATACCTTCGTACTTCTTCTTTTGTACTTAAATGGATCACCTTTGATAATATTATCGCTCTTTGTTGTGTGTCATCTAAGTAAACGTAGAATGGGCAGAGGAGAATCCAAGGACTTCTTGGCAAACTTACTAAGATAAGGAAAAACGTCATATAGCCAAATTCGAAATTAATAAAATAACAAATATATAAACATGGGCTATGAAATACTATATAAATGTATAAGAGTTTATCATAAATCAAGTACATAATTGATAATAAGTACCAGAAATGCCCAGGGAAAGCCATACAAACCATACAATGCATTCTTTATTTCATTGTACACTTCACTCTGTTTCTTCAAATTGATTTTGTTCTTCAAATACATCACTGTTAGATCAAAACAGACTTTCCCGACGGATAACTCTAGAAGAAATCTAAATCATCCACCATCTTAATGTGGCTTGAATCCACAATCTTAGATTGATCACGGGCGAGCAATATCGAGTGGACAAATCAAATTAAAGATCACTTCAACTTCTGCTCCTTATTCAATATGGTACCCTTGATCAAACTCATCAACTTTGTAGCAATGATTTTCTTATTCTTGGTCGCACTATAATAATATTTTCAGCTTTCTAAAGTACTTTTGTCATTATTGCATCACGGGGGTTGTAACACCTCGCTATTTGAAAGAACTGGAATTAGAAAGAAACCATTTTTGGAAATAATCAAATTTGGAAAGTTTGACAAGGTTAAGCTAAGTTTAAGTTTTGGGTCTTCAAATGACCATAACTTATAGCATAGGAGGATTAGGTGGGCTACAAGATACCGTAGGAAATATCTTTGAATTATCTTTCCAACACCACCGAGTTTGCTCAATTTCGAGTTCGTATGAGGGAGATATGCCCATTTGAAGTTGGGCTGATTAGATAAGGAAAGTCAAAACCGGATTTTTGAAGGGTATTATGGTTTTTTCACTACCCAATTAATTAAATTCGTTTTTGGTAATTAAGTTGGGGTGTAAACTAGTTGGATTCAGTTTACGCTTCATAAAAATAAGTTAGGATTTTGAGAGAAGAGAAAAGAAAAGGATAAAAGAGGAGAAGAAGCTTAGAATCGTCATGTTCTTGAATATTTGCTTGTGGATTTCGCCAAGGGTTGATCCCTAAGAGGTATGTGAGTTCACATAGCGTTGGGTTTGTTCACCCATGCGCCAAACATATTTATTTCAGCGTGAATTCATCCTAAAAAGGTCAAAAGTTTGATGTTCTTGATATGTGTTCTTGAATTGGGCTGAGATTGAGGAGTTCTTGAGATTATTGCATCGATTTATAGAGTTGTTTTGAGTTAGATTCTAGTGTACATGTGTTGGGCATCTGAATTTAAAGAGAAGTTGAGCAAAAGAATCGAATTTAGGCGGATTGGGGTTAGAAAATGAAGAAGGAAAAAGTCAGGCGAATCTGGCAACCCAGTCCACGTCACGGACCTGCCTCCCATTTTCACAGAATTTTTCTCCGCGTCGTGGATAGGTCACGGACCCTTCTGCCTCAAATTTATTTTGTGACCAAATATTTAAATGTATCTCCGCTTCGCGGAGTTGCTTCCAGACAGTGAATTTTTTATCGTTTCTTATGTTTAACTATCCAAAAACATTCCTAAACATCACGAGATCTTTACTATCACAAATCATAACCTTGAATCCATAATTAAATTCAAGGAAAGTTAAGAGTTAAGGCAAGAGAAGTTCATAGAGTCTTCCAAAGGTCTTTTATAAATGTTTAACTTTGTTTTAAGACTTGAGTTTTCAGTTGAGTAAAGAGAAAAGGTTGAAGTTTATTTTATTCAGAAGAGTATATTGGGACTATGTATTCCCAAAGAGTAAATGTTTTCACATTTAAACAAGAAAGGAAATACCAATTTCAAATTGGTATCAGAGCTAAGTAGTAAAAATGAACAATAAAGAGAATCATAAGTACAAATTAATTAGAACAGTAATTAAAAAATGACAAGAATTAAAATATAGACAAGAAAGGCTTCAACATAATATATATGCAGGAGTATGTCAAAAATCTTTGCTAGCACAAAGAAAAGTAATATTCAACCTACAACTAGAAATACAAGCAATAGAGTATAAATTGAAACATAATTTAAAATGAATAAGGAAGAATTTGCTATAGAAGAATAGACATACGAAAATCCTGAAAGATTAAAATTTAAAATAATATTTTCAAATCTAGGAAGAAGGTACAAAAAAATAGGTGACAATCTATACCTAATGATAGAAAAAGAAATAGTAAGATTAGAAGATAGTCTAACTGCAATGGTACGAATAACAAGGGAAAATGAAGAAATAGATAGGAAAAAGGAAATAGATACAATAAAACAGCAAGCAAAATTAGAAATACAACAGATTGAAGAAGCGAAAAATGATAAGATAATTGCCTTAGAAAAAGAACTAATTATACTTAAAGAATTATATGAGGCTAAACAAAAAGAAAAGGAAATATGTCACGACCCGATTTAAGAAATAGAAAAACTTAGAGAACTAACTAAGGAAACACCAGATATAGGAATTGATAATGTTGATATAGATGAAAATTGTTCAGAACAAGGCTCAGAATATTAGAGAAAATAGGAGATAATAACTTTATAGAAACCGAAGCTGGTAATCCTATAGAAATAAATACGGAAGATATTAAAGATACAAAACCAAGTACATCAGGTACATCAGAAGTAAAAAATCCAAAAGAATTAAGACCTAATTATTATACAGTCAGTTATGAAGAATCTGATAGATATGATAGTCTATGGAATAAAAGATTAAACAAAAAATGGACGCCATCCACAACATCACGA